CACACACACACACACACACACACACACACACACACACACACACACACACACACACACACACACATATATATATTCCAAGACACATATATATTCCAAGACACATATTTTGTCTTGGAATAATTTTTTACTTGACAAATTGTCCTGTATACAGTAGTTTGTAAATAAAGATAGATTGTGTACGTCAGTATGGAAGGGGAAATATCATGTGCAATTTAATAGTAAAAAAAAGAAATATAGATTTTATTTACCAATAGTTTTCCAGTTTATTATATTAAGACTGTGTCATAGAGATGACCATATTTTATTATGTTTGAGAATTGATGTAGTTGTTATAGCAATATGTATTAAATACAGAGAACTTAAAGAAATAAGTTTACACATTTTTGTAGGGAATGAATGCGGTAGTTACACACACCTTTAAGTTTTAAACAGATATTTCATACATTTTATGTGAATAAAATCTGTTTGCAAAATAATTTTGTAAATATTGTCACATTTATTGAATGCCATTAACTGTCTACTTCTTGATATTGTGTATTTTTTAGTTAATAATTCAGAATTGGATTACATAATAGAGAAATTGATGGTCATAAACAAAAATAAAGGCAAGGTCATATTCACTCATCTATCAGTGCTTGTCTGGCCATGTCCAGCAATGCAGTGGCCTTCATGCATCAAGCTCTGGTGAAGGCAAACTTCCGTAGTGCATATCCTGGCAAGAGAGAGCTCTTTGATTGCCCACGGAATTGAATGTCTGATGAGGAACCAGTCCAGTTTTGTTCGTGATAAACTAAATCCTTGCACATATTATCAACTACTTACTTTTCCAGGAAAATATATTACAGCTTTCAATCAGTTAAAGTCACTCATTCAGTTGGTAGAGTGAATACTTTTGGTGCATTTTGAGGTGTGACCATTGGTTTATGATATATATAACAAGTTCTTAGTAAGAGTATTTTATCTCCTCTGCATAACATGACACAGCATTAATTCAGCTCATAAATGATATATGCAGGAAGTCACTGGAACAGAGGACTTGGGAGAAGCCCGCTCACAGTTGGAGAACCATGGCTGGGACCTAGAGGCAGCCGTCCAGACACACCTTGCTCTGGGAGACAACCGCGCACCAACGCCTCCCATTCCAGCGCAGGTAGGTTTTAAGGAAAGGAGAGGTCCTCCGTTGAGAGTAGAATAGATTTGGTAAAGGCCAATATAAAAATAATGATAATATATCTATGTGTAGATCTCTTGGGATGTGCCAAATTTTTGTAATGATGTTACAGAATTTATTTTCACTAATGGTGTTGAGAAAAATGAGGATTACTATCCCTGGCTTGCCTCACAGAATGGCAGAAATGACCACAACGGTTGGCAGAATCTGGCCGGGGTGGGCGGAGGAGGAGGAGGGAGTGGAGATGGGGGAGGGGGAGGGGCTAACCGCCATGACGAGGATGACACAGACACAGAGGATGGGGCGGACAGTGGCGAGAGAGAGAGCAGCTCTAACAGCCTGCTGCCTGCCTGGCCTCGGGGGAGCATCTTCAGCTGGGGCTATTATCTCCTCACGCTGCCCTTCCGCATCACCCTCTCCTCCCTCTCCTCCCTCTTCCTCTTCGTCTACAGGATTGTCTACCCATATCCTCGCAGATGTGAGTATTTCTAAATGTGTAAGTGAATGAGGCGGGGAATAATTGAAGGTGTGTGTGGGTATATATGTATGTATGTATATATATATGTATTTGTATATGGTGTGTATGTGTGTGTTTATGTGTGTATGTAAAATTGCATGTATGTACATAATATCATTATTTTTATCATTTTTTTCCGCTGTAATCAACTTTGCTGATAACCTCACCAATGCCCTACAGTAACTGACCCCCTAGGGGATGTGCTGCAGTTCATAGGACAGTATGAAGCAGAGTACGGGCAGCAGTCCCCTGCCTTCTTCCAGGGCTCTTACTCACAGGCTCTCAGCCATGCCAAGTCGGAGCTCAAGTTCCTCTTGGTCTACCTGCACTGTGCTGATCACCAAGACACGCCGGCCTTCTGTAGGTTAGTCTAGAGAGCTCTCAGCTTCCTTTGGTTTTGGATGTGCACTCTAGTGTTTTGCAAGGTGAGGGAGAGCCGTGGGGTTGGGTGTTCAACTGAAGAGGAGCACTCTAGCTTTGCCAGGTTTGCACGCTGACTCAAGGCCAGTCCTGGATGTGTACAAAACTACTTACTGTTCATGAATATCATATTTTTCTCATGGATTTTGGTGTCAGAAAAAAAATTATTTGCTGATGAAGGAATAGGGAAGTATTGAAAAATTAGATATATTGTTTTTTAATTAAAATGAATGATTGTATAGATGTAGTCTCCAATTATGTCCTAAGTACTTAATTATTGACCCTCCTGTACAGAACAACACTGTCAGACCCAGCACTGGTGGAGTATGTCAACAACACCATGGTGTTCTGGGGCTGCTCTGTCACCACGGCAGAGGGCTATCGTGTGTCCC